AAATGTCAATATATTTAGATTTAGACTTTAAAATGAAGTATTCACATTAAACAGATGATGGCACTGTTTCACTGTCTGATCCATGGGATGGTCATTAAACCAACAGCAAGATGAATGTGTGATGTGTTCAAGGACCCTTAAAGGAATTGTTTTTACAGTGAACACCTTCTTGCATGTTATTAATTGATATTTTGTATCGCGCTTTTTGTCCTTTGGGTGTTCATATAACCACTTGAAGGCGTGACATTTGACACGGGCTGGACAACGAAAATTCAAGCCGCAGTGCCACCGTGACAAAATGGGCCACACGGGGGCACTGCGGCAAAGCTGTGATTAGACAGCTGAATACAAAGATGAAAGACTGAATTCCCCTCACAATTAGAAATAGTTAAAGGTTAAGGACTGTAATAAATACAGAATTATAACATCACATGATTGAATTTAGAAATAATACATGTATAAATATATATATAAATATACACATAACATACATGTATTTAAGAATAAAATGATAAACAGGACGATCAGTCGCGAAGTAATAACAATTATAATAATAAATAGGAAGTAGCCCATTCAATACAACAAATTAAACATACGGTTGTTGAAAGGCTAAGTTAAATTACTTTAAGAATTCAACATATAAACTGTTAAATAACATAGAATCTTTATTGGAGGGGTATGGTGTGGAATTGTTTTTTTTTATACATCGCAAACACAGTACATCACAGCTGCTTCCGTATAAGGTCAACCTTTTTATTTAGTCTTTCTTTTTTTGTCCAAATATTTATTCTTTCTTGGCTCATCCAGAGGATAAAAAAAATATATATCCTTACACTTATTTTAATATTCTACCTGTCTTTTGTTCATGACTACTGTTTCAGTAGTTGTCCCCTCCCCTGCTGATGAGAAGTCATCTCAGTTTACAACCCACTGAGTCTTGAACAGCACCTGTCCTTGTTCCTCTGCTCCCCCCCCGCTCCCCCCCCCAAATAAAACCCTCATGACCTTTGACTTTACTCTTAACCTTCAGCTGGTTCTACAATTGGTTTTCACACAGGCACATTTAACTACTGGCGATAATCAATCAATCGATCGATCAATCTATCTATCTATCTGTCTATCATACATATAAAATTGACATTCATTTATTTGCTGTAACAATTTTTGATCTGGTCATAACAGGCGTAGACATTTAGTTGCCCTGAAACAAAATACTGCAAATTCTAAAATGTGTTACTACTACACATTTACAACCACTACTCTCACAGTACAGTAACAGTATTTATATTTTTCCCATTAAATAAAACACGGATTTTTTTTCCAAATTATATGATGCAGTGCAACAATATATTTATAATAGGGTTTGAATTTGCACTGTTTCCTGAACAAGGGTTGGCGGAATAAGGAAACACACAGATCTTTCGTTCTTGTACGACACCTTGATTACCTGACCTCACCCCAGTCGGTCAACTTTAAATGGGTGACACTGACGCAGTGTGAGGCATGGCCGCATCTCTAAATGCTCACTGGGCACAACAGGTGTTGTCGAACTCTGGCACGATCCAGAGCATCTGAGCCCATAAATGCAGTTTTATTATCCTGTCTGGATGCTGTGGCCATGCTATGTGCAACACTAAATGCCACTGCTGGTGGACAGGCAGTAGCAGTGGTACACACACAAACACGAGTCTATTTTCGTGGGCCATTCACATTTGGCGCGAGCTCTATAAATCTAATTTAACTCAAACACAAGGTCCTCCTCACACACACACACTGCAGTTCTGAGGTGAGGTCCAAGGAGCTGTGTGCCTTCTATAAGGAGCAGGTATTTAAAAGCATGATCTGGATGTGTTTCTTTGACACAGATTTCTCTTTTTAAAAAAAAAAATTTTTTTTTTTTTTTTCCTTTTTTGACCTTTGCAATGTAAGCATAAGGACAAAAAGGACAAATATCTGTGAAGATTGTTCATTTGATTAACACCGACAGGAAGCTGAGCCTGGTTGCTGTGACATGCCTGTGGATTATCTGGTTGTTCACCTGCTTTGCACGTTTGCATTTTGCATGTATGTTGAGTCAGTGTCTGGCTGTGACACTGATACAGTGGATGACTTTAAAAGAATCTCACACTATTGAAGAGTTGACAGTGAGAAATGGGTAAGCCTGCAATAAAGCCATTGCGGTGTGTTTTGTGTTTTTTTTTAAGCTTAAGGTTTTAAGGGACACAATTGTTTTCCATTTATTTGTTTCTTCTTCATTGTGTGTTGTAGGTGAAAGAAACTTCAATAAATTTTTAAAAAAATAATGTGAGTAATTTTTTTTTTTTTTTTAGTAAAATTTCTTTGGATTGTGTTTCAATTTTCAATTTTTGTCCCGTAACCAGAAAAACATGCACTTTTTAATTTTTTGCAGTAAAAGGACTTTAAGACAACCATGGCTGAGGAGTGAGTATTATCACTTGGAATACGGCATTATTATGTACATTTTGTTATTCATTCATGTTCATTTTTTAATGTGACTTCCATTTTCCTCCCCTTTTTCAATGCTCCAACAGACCTGTGAGTAGAAACCATTTACTTATTTATTTGAACACACACTCCTTTTTCAATGCTCTAACAGACCTGTGAGTACAAACAATTTACTTATTTATTTGAACATAAATACACACACTGTATTTACCGCCTAACTGACAATTAATTTGATCATAAATTCATTTCAGAGAAAATCAAAGATCTCCTCATCACGGCGCCTGGGGTTGAAGGTAAGATGTAAAAAAAATTTTTAATTCGCAATTTTTAAATGTTCTTAAAACCAACTTAATGTTGGGTGTCAAAATTTTTAATTCGCAATTTTTTCAATGTTCTTAAAACCAACTTAATGTTGGTGTTTGGATGTCTGCGCTCTTTAGATCAGACTGCTGGCAGTTGCTGCTCAGATGCTGCAGGAGGAGAAGGAGCGAAATGTGAAAGAGAGAGAAGAGGCTCTGGCTGAAAGGATTTCTCCTCTGAATCTGTCTGGATTATCTGCGCAAGAGCTGGTGGTGATGATTGATTATAACATCTTTGTTGTCTCTCAGTCGCTCCAGTTACTGTTACCACCAGATTCAAATACACTCTTTTCTTTTCAATGGACTTTCTACAGGATTTATGCAAAGGCCTACACCACAAGATTGATCTTGTAGACGAGGAGCGCTACGATATTGGACTCAAGGTGTCCAAGAACGACATGGAGGTAAGGACAATGGGGAGGGGAGTTGTTTTACGCCAGCTTTTTCTATGAAATCCCAATCGCTCTAAAGGTCAAGATACGACCGCGAGGCAAACTATGTCATTACTCCCTTCCTAGATTGACAACATGAAGCTGAAGATCACCGAGATGCAGAGCAAGTTTAAGAAACCAAACCTGAAGAGGGTGAAGATCTCAGCCGAGGCCATGCTGAGTGTGCTGCTGGGCTCCAAACACAAGGAGTCCTTTGACTTCAAGGCCAACCTGAAAACCGTGAAAAAGGAGGAGGAAAAGGTTAGTCTGACTTGATCTACACATACTCTGTCCTATCTGGTCTGTCTGTCTATTATCTGTAATATTTCCAACAGAAAGAAGAGGTGACTGACTGGCGTAAAAATGTGGAGGCCATGTCTGGCATGGAGGGCAGGAAGAAGCTTTTTGACGCCTCTGGAAACTGAAGAAACTGTTTTTGTTTTTGTTTTCGTGGGCATATAATGATTTCAGAGCATATTAAAACGTTTTTTGTCTTATCCTGAGTTCTTCTAATTCTGTTCCTGGACTTAAATCACATTTCATCGCTTCGTGGTGTATTTCCGTTGTTGTAATTACAGGGTGCAGCCTGAAGATGGCAGTATATAACTCTCTCAAGCATTACAGTTTTCCCAGTAACAGGTGTGACGACTGTAAGGTCATATCGTTGTGTTCAGAACACTGTCCTTCATAGCAAATTATAAACAACTTTTTTTGGTTCGCAGTTTACTTATTGCCAGTTAAACTGAGAGCATAATTTAGATTTACACATTTTTGTTCACGCTACTTGACAAGAATATGTTTATTCACTTTTCCGGTTGTCTTGATGTAAAAAAATATCAATAAAAATGCAAATCCGTTAATTCCGTGTTTTACTACATTATATATACAATATTATATCTGAGTGGTATCCCCCTTTTCGTGTACGCAGGATTGCATTGAAGCCTACTTCAAATTACTACCCTCTCTTTTGTAACTAAGTGGATGATCCCGGGACCTTTCATACCTCAGATGTATGGGATGTGATGGACCCTGAGCAAGAATGGTGTGGACAGTAGGTCTATTTTAGTGAGCCACTCACAAGCGTGCTAGAATCTATATATCTACCCTCTTTCTGTTCCCTGTGGTCAGAGAAAAAAACAAACAGCCTGTGAGTATTGTCTTTGACTGATAAGGTAAGATAATCTCACTATCAACAATTTTTACACCACTAAACTCTGACGCTCCTACTTTTGTTAAAAACAGCATCAAATGAAAAGATCAGTTTTTGTTTAAAAAAAAAACTGCATCAAATGAAAAGATCTGTTTGGACTAAAAATTCAGAATTTGGTCCTTTCTTTTTTGTAAATCTGTAATTTTGTTTAAACAAATGCAAATGATTTATTGTTAGGAGGTTTATTTGCGTGAGATGAGCTCTCCTCCATTGATCACGGATGGAAATGTCAAACTTTAAAGTACGTTTGAAATCAATTCCACAAGAAAAATCAAGTCTCCTGAAACCCAGTTAATAATGAAGTGTTCTTTTGAAAAGTGATCCGCATTCATAGAAATGTTCTTTTTTTCTTCTATAAATAGTCCATTTTCAATAGATATAGGTCTACTTCGCTGTATGTGAATATTTAAACATTCATGTTTTGATTCGTTTTTTTAGTGTTGTCAACATTTCTGGCTTTATCACAGGTGGCCGTTCTGACCTTGACAACAGTGTCATGCGTCTTTGTGTCACATGTTATGCATCCCTTAGTATGGTGTGAGAATTTCTTAAAATAAAACAATTAATGATGTATGGATATTTCTTCAAGAAAATATGACAAAGTGAGGCGAACATGTAGAGTAACTGTTCTGGATCATTCTTTTTTTTTTTTTCTTATGGTGGACATAAAAAGAAGAGCATCTGAAATCCAATATAGCAGCCATGTCTGCAGCGTAAGTACACAAGAATCATTTTGATCAGAGTAAAAAGTACTGCGTGGTTATAATATGTATAGTAATATATTCTGATATCTTTCGTCTGTCTCTGTGTCTGTAAACATCTCTTCTATGGATAGATCTTCGGTGAGTTAAAGCCTTCCTTTCAATTATATTGTATCTGTTACTCAAAACTAAATACAATTATTTTTTTCAGAAACCAAAGCCAAAAATCTCTGCCTCTCGGAGACTGTTTTTGAAGGTATAAAGCAGTGTGTTTCAACCTAGGGGTCACAATCCCACATAAATGATTGATGAACTAATATTATATATATTATTATTCTGCTATGCACCAGACCAATCCAATGGGGTCACCCGCAATGTGTAGTAATAGATTAATGAAAATGATTGATGAACTAATTATTATTCTGCTATGCACCAGACCAAACTCTTAAAGAGAGCCATGACTATGCTGGAGGGTGACAAACAAGAAAGAAAAGACGAGCGAGACAAAACCCTTGGAGAGAGAGTTCCTGTTCTTCAAATGTCCGGGCTTTCTTTGCAGGATCTACAGGTACGCGTTGCACTGTCAAAATGTGTGCTTCCTAATAAAGTGAAGACGTTTAGAAAATAGGTGTTTTTGCTCTACGATAATATACTTTAAAAATAACATTTAAAAAATATTCAAGCCAGGATTCGGTTATTATCCAGAATTGCTTTGGTTAAAGCATATGTCATAAGTATTTTCTCAAATGCATCAATGCGACATTAGATTGACTGATGTCAATATGGGTTCTGTTCCAGACTCTGTGCAAAGAGCTTCACCAAAAAATTGATGTGGTGGACGAGGATCGGTATGACATTGCTTCTAAAGTGTCTAAAAATAGTAAGGAGGTAAGCGATATGTGCCAAATAACCGCGTCAGTCTCGTAATAAAACGCAAAAATACACTAAATAAAGAATGGGCCACCTGTAGGCCAGTGTTTCTTCTACATTTGTTCGCAGTGATAAAACGTTAACATTTTGATTCCTACAATTTTTTGTTTTTATTATTATTATTATTATTTCATATATAATTTTAAAATATTCTTTTTTATACATATTATAGAGATTCCCTATCCCTTACTTTGCTGAAACTAATTTCATATCTATATGCTCTATTAAGACACCTGCTGTTAATATTAGAGACTTGAAAAGTTATGTCTGCTGTAGAATACCATGAGATTTACGTGGTAAAGTAAAAAAACAGTGAAGAGTAAAAAGACCTGAGGAAGTAAAAAACAGTGAAGAGTAAAAAGACCTGGATGACCTATGACCTGCAGAAATAGACCAAGACTTTGACAAGTCGACTAATGTTGGGCCTTTTTGCTGTCATTTGTGTGGGATAAAAAGATACAAGACCTGTCTCAGAAGATCTTTGAGTTGAAGGGCAAGATGAAGAGACCAAACCTGAGGAGGGTGAGGGTATCTGCTGATGCCATGTTAGGAGCCTTGTTTAGTTCAAAGGTTAAAGAGTCTGTGGACTTTAAGGCCAACCTGAAGACTGTAAAGAAAGAGGAGGAGAAGGTAAGGAGTATTGCCACTAAAGTGGTACCATCCACTGCAGTGTTCAACAAACCATTGCTACTATTGCACTAAAACGAACTAAATAAATAAATGTATGAATTAATTAGGAATCCATCTGTCGGAAGTAAACTGTGATACATCAATTCATGTAAATTGTATGTTGGTTACAATTGTAGTATTGTATTCAGCATTTAAGACTGCACTAATAAAAATAACATAGCTTACATTTTTTTTCTCAGATATTGTAAGTAATTGCATCATTTTTTTTTTCCAATCATAAAAATCAAAATGTGTTGTACTATTTCACCAAACAGAAAGAAGAAGTGACAGACTGGCGTAAAAATGTGGACGCGATGTCCGGCATGGAGGGCAGAAAGAAGTTGTTTGATGCTGGACAGTAGATTCGAGATGGACGTCTTTAAGAATGTGTTGGTCGGTTTATAACGTGTAAGAACCAGTGAATCGTACGATTCCTTAAAGACAAATAAAGACACGGTAAATAAGTAGTAAATATTTTAGCTGATGTTGAAAATAGCAGGTTTAAAAGGATTCTTTTTATTTTAAGAGAACGTGTAGTTTTTATGTCATGACAAAATCATGCTTTAAAAAAAAGTAACGCAGAGCCTTTGGCAGTTGCTTCTATTTCTTCATGTGAATATATCACAATTTATATTCACCTCATTGATGTTAAGCCCTGAACAAAGTCATGAGATTCTTTGTGGTCTGTTGTACAATAAACATGTCCTGCCAGTTGTACCGGAGGTTTGACCGTGTTTACTTTAAACAGTTGGTGATATTTCCCAGTCAAATGAGGAAATAGGGTTACAACAATTACACTTCAATTTGACCGTTCACTTTTTAACAGTGATTCAACTAACAAAATAAATCAACCCGAGTTTAATTAAATAATCTTTATCCTTTCCATTAAATATTGACCTAAATTAAACATCACAAACAACCAAATTGTTGGGAAACTACAATTTTAATCTCAGAAGGAGGTTGGTGAAATTGCTGGGGGGGAAAAATTAATAATACGAAAAAAATGTACTGTATGTATATAAAAATATGCAAAAGTAAAGTAGCTATAAAATATTCGTTATCTTTGAGATGGTGGCCACTATTTTAAAGACTAATCCTTCATTTAAATATCAAAGTCTGAGAACATTAATCCCTCCCACTTTGAGGGAGGTCATTATCCATAAAACATTACAACGTAGGTTTGCTTTTAATTCCTTTAAAGGCAATTGGATAGGGAGACCAAACTAGCCTAAAAAGTTTATTGCATATAGATAAATGGACTTTTGCGCAAACAAAGAGTTCGAGGTTTATTTTTGCATTGACGTTAGTGTTTGTTAAAAATGTATTTTTGCTCTTCAAAAGTGATTAGGGTTATCAGTTACAACATTGCCGTCATGATTTAAACACAAACATGTGGAGCTTTAAATAAACCACCCCTCTGACGTCTCCCTGTGAGCAGAGTTATCCTATAAAAACTCCTGTCTTTCTCTTACAAACATCATAAATACTCCCTTAAGTGTAAACTACGAAGTTTATGAAACAAGACATCAGCTATACCTCGGCGACGTCGACGGCGGAAATCGCTTTGCTATACCGCCTTCCTCCTCATCCCTCCTCACACAACCGTTACTACTCCAAATACGGACATGACATTTGCCAAAAGCCGCGCCCACATATGTAAGCACCCGTTCTGATTGGACGAGCGGAATTGTCAATCACAAAGCTAACGTTGCTGTGCATGGTCTGGGATCTACTGTCAACAGTCACCGCGGACTGTTATAGCTCTATCTAGACAGGATTTAAATCAAAACAGGGTAAGACGACAACCAAACAATAAATTAGCGATTTGAAACTGGAGTGTGCTCGTTTGTGCTCTTTGCCTTTTTACGTCCACTTTCCACGCTGTATTTTAATACTCCGTTCCAACTGTCATCCATCCTTTCAATCTAGCAAAAAAAAACAACAAAAAAAAAAAAAAAAAAACCCCGTTTTTCCGGAAGATCGGCTCTACCTGTGTTTCATGTGTATGTTTTTGTCAGACATATACTGTTTACAGTGTGCATTCGGTCGGTGAATTGGGCTAAACGCTGGTGCTGTCTACCTTTACCATGTCAGCGTATAAACCGACCTCTAACCTTTTGGTGGCCTTAAAAACAGCCTGCTACTAACCACTGATCAGATACACAGACCTGCTGCAAGTGCAGTCACTCTGTGTACTGTGAATTTGTATATTAGTTTGGTTACTTTACATTTAGTTATTTCTATTTTTTTAAATTTTTTTTACTGCAGGTTTCTGTTGCTTCTGTTGGTGCCTCGGATGTCCAAACACAAACTTTTTCTGCTAAGGCATGGAGAAGGTGCCTGGAACAAGGAGAACCGCTTCTGCAGCTGGGTAGACCAAAAGCTGAGTGAAAATGGGGTGAAAGAGGCCCAGGATTGTGGCACGTTGCTAAAAGAGCAGGGTCACAAATTTGACCTGGTGTTCACATCCATACTCAGCCGCTCCATTCAAACGGCATGGCTGGTGCTGGAGGCCATGGGCCAGGAGTGGGTGCCCGTCGTCAAGTCTTGGAGACTTAACGAGCGCCACTATGGAACGCTGATTGGCCTGAATCGGGCCGAAATGGCCGCAAAACATGGAGAGGAAAAGGTGAAGGTGTGGAGACGAAGCTTTGACGTGAGTCCGCCTCCAATTGACGAGTCCCATCCTTACTTCCACGAGATCTACAACGATCGCAGGTACACCACCTGTGATGTACCAAAGGAGAGTCTGCCCAGAGCGGAGAGCCTGAAGGAGGTCTTAGACAGGCTGCTGCCATACTGGGACAACACTGTGGTGCCGGAGATAAAGAAAGGCAGGACTGTGCTTATATCTGCTCACGGAAACAGCTGCAGAGCTCTGCTGAAACACCTTGAAGGTATGCAAGTCTACTTAGCTGTCAACAGGTAACATAAACAATACTGTTTTTTCTAAGTGGTCATTTTAGTGAGATAATTCCAAAAAATCGTGTTCAGGGCTGCGTGGCCAGCTAGTAGTTCTGTAACACTGGAGTCAAATAATATTTTAGTTCCAGAAATGGAAAGCTGAACTTGCACAAAAGGCCAGTGAGTTTATGTTACATTAGGCTGTGGCCACTCAATCCACGGTGACCTTTCTGCACACCCAGATGGAGTCGGGGTCTTGTGTTGCCCGGTAAATAGAATCATAAAACACATGAGCCCAACATGGTACAAACCATGTGTGAAATAAATGAACTGATTACTGTTAAATCATTACAATAAACCAGATAGTGTCAGCAGTTGTGCTTTTTGATTACATCACTCCAAAGTGTTTGAATACCTCTGTCTTTACGTCAACAGGAATATCCGACAAGGATATAGCCAATGTCACTTTACCGACAGGGATACCTGTGCTGCTCGAGCTGGATGAAAACCTCAAGCCGGTGGAACCACGAAAGCTGTTAGGAGATCAGGCGAAGATTCAGGCAGCCATCAAAAAGGTGGAGGACCAGGGAAAGGCTTTACCTTCAACTTGAAATGAAATAATGGCCATGGGGCCAAGTAAAGTTCTGGTCCAATCTCTACTAATATATACTAAAAATATAACTTCAATATTTTCTGGGAGGATACACCAACAATAACAGGTAAATACTAATGTGAATAATGGAGTGTGCAATAGGACAGTACTTAAAAAGTAGTGGTCCAAGTGGGGGGGTGCAAAGCATGTACACGTGTACAAATAGGAATAAAAGTCAATTATTTTGTAAGTTGAAGCACGACTTTAAGTGGGTATGACGGGCATTTTGAGGTCGAGTGTTTGATCCATCCCTTATTATAATATAAACAGTCAACCTGGTTGGCAGAAATCCCCTCAACACACTGAGTCGCAGCTTGCACCTCATTGATCCTCATTATTTAATTTAGTAGAGTCCTGAAGATACAACAATAAATTAGTTCAATATATATTTGAATTTGCAGCTGTCCGTAGCATTTTCGTTTGTTGGCTTCAGATAGAGCCTAACTCTGTTCACTGGTTTACAAATGATGAATCGTGATTTACATTTATGACCGGGCTCCACTGAGCAGTTACTGTAATAGTTACCTGAATGTAGGACGTTTCAGATCAGACTGGTTGTACCGGGTGAGGATGGCCAGTCAGGTCTGCATATTATGTGTAAACACTTGGGCTTTGGCTTTATTTTTAAGAGTTTTTTTTTAGAGGTTTTTACTGTAGTTTGGTCAGTCAAAAAAGTAACTCAATTTCACATTTTACGATTAAATTGGTTAGTTTTTTTAAAAAAGTTGTTTTAATATCTTGAAAAAAGTAAAAAAAAAACACCCAAACGTAAGCACTGATCATTGAGTGACTAATAACGTATTGCAAGTCAGAGAAAGGCACTGAATATACAAAGCACTGTAAGTCTTCACTGTTACACGTAAGTTAGTCATTTGCCATTCATTTGAAGTGAAAGCGGATCGGCCATTGGATGTACTTTTTGATGCGATCGCTGTTTAATTTAGCTGTCATTTTGCATCAACTCATTTTAAAATCCTGCAAGGTCCTTGATTTTATTCTAAAAGAATCAATGTTACTGTACGCGCCATCAGAAGAAATGTGCGAACATTTGTTACGTTTGATGAATTTGCACGTTTTGTCGCTACATCTGGTCTAACGTTAACGACTGTTTGTGGAACTTCCCGCTGTAAAGTGTCGGATGAATTTGCACGTTGTTTTGTCGCTACATCTGGTCTAACGTTAACGACTGTTTGTGGAACTTCCCGCTGTAAAGTGTCAACTGTCTCGTGTTGTTGTGCATCATTTATGTCTCTGTTTTACCACATCGCCCAAAGGGGTGTGTCTTTGTCATTCTTATTTTGTAACTTGGTAACCGTTAGGTCAACTCGTTAACTAATAGGGACAATTTAAGAACATGCAATTGTTGATAGAAAAAAAAAACACAACAAGTAAGTTTCACTGCTGTTGACGCCTTGGAGATTGTCATGACAAAAAAAAATAAAGGAATGCAAATTTCCAAAGATATTATGGTCTTCATTGTGGTTTTTTTTTTTTTTTTTTTTACAGGTGAAAGCTCAGTTTGGAGGATGTCACTGTGATAAACGCATAACTGTAAATTTATTGTGTTGCAATAGACACGGCACTGAAGACAAAACAACAGTGTTGTTTTGGAATTACAGATATGCATGTAATTTGCGTTCTGGTTTCGCTTAAGCCCACTGGAGACAGTAAACCACCGGGTCTGTTTGGCTACCACAGACTGGCCTGGAGGAGCGATGCTTTATTTTGTCAACTATTTCTGTAACTTGGTCCAAACCATGGGGGTTGAGCCACTGAAGTACCCTCTAATTGGATAAAAGTGGTCGGTAAGATCCTTGTTCCCATCTATGCGGTGCCAGTAACATTGTCTCGTGTTAAAATAGAGAATGCTGGAATTTTGTGTCAATGTTTGTAAACATGGGGCTTTTCTCTCTGCCCTATAAAGAGTGTTATAAAGGAAGTTTGCCTTTCCTTGTCCATGAGTTCAGAGTCCTAAAATTAATACTTCATATCAGTCTCAATCCTATGACTATTTTGAACATCACACTTGAACTCCGGGATGTGATGCCCCTGATGGACGAGCTAGGCTATGTCAGCTCATCAAACACTCTTCCTCGATTTGGTGTTTAAGCCTTTTTTTTAAACAAAAAAATCATAATCATCACCAAAATGTATTCGTTAACAAAAAAAAAAAGAGGCACGAAATGCCTTCTTGGCTAATCATCACCAAAATGTATTCTTTCAATCTTGTCTAAAAGCTTTGAGCCCTATTAAAATTTACAGTTGTATAAATCATGAAACAGGGCTTTCAAATTTGTACTAAGCGCCACCTGCAGGTCAATAAAAAGGGTCTCAATGTTGACAGATACAGACTGTAGAACAAACCAGCACATTTGCGAAACACTCACACTACATGCTCATTTGAGAAAATCTTAAATTTGGTTTCTATATTTTTTCCAGAATTTATACGTAATAAAAAAAAAAGTCATCTTCCCCATCTCATGACAGCAGTGCACACACAATCCAGCACATCACTGAGCAGGCGGAGCTGTTCAAGGGCTGTGTGAGCGCTTATAAACTGCAGCTCTTTGTTCTGGCCCTGATTCTGAGGAGGAACAATTGCTTTGCTCTGCACGCCTGGTAAGTTTTCTGATGCTATCTTTCCTGCAGCTCAGAGTTACAGTTTGTGGGGGGGGAGTATGAGGCTTGTCGTCGGAGCAGATTAAGGTTGACTGGTAGAACTAACAAGCTGGTGTCAATACAGCTTGTATTTCGTGGCATTCAAGTGTGATATGGGTTTAACATCTGGATTGCACCATGTTCAGCTCCTTTTTGTAGTTTACAGAAAAATAGAATATTTATAAATTGTTTGCATCAGTTATGCAGTTTTATATTGATTATCGAGGGAAAATAAACGATATATAAATAAAATATAATGCCTCCCTAAACCATCCTCCAACCCCCAAAATCTGTATGTTGTACAAGAAGTTCTCTAGACCAGCGGTTCTCAAATTGTGGAACGCGTCGTACCACCAGTGTTGGTCATCATGGTGGTACTCAGAGAGCTCAGTGTTTTCTCAGGTATTAAAAAGTTTGAGAAACCACTGCTTTAGACTATCAATGCACAGCAGAATAAAATAATAATAATAATAAAAAAACGTTGTCCTGGTAACGATGGGTAATTGGGTGATGATTAATGTCTATTGGTTGTTAATTTAAACATATATATACAAACTGAAAGTTCGTTGGTGATTTATTTATTTACTTTAAACTGAATCACGTTGTAGGTGAAAATTACATTCACTTTGATGGGACACTACGACCGATAGGCGACAAGTGTGATGCCGGAGACAGCGCAACTTAAGAGATAAAGTTACAAGAAGCAAAGTTTAAATTCCCCAATGTGATAAAGGATGCTTAAAAAAAAACAAAAAACTTTTTAAACGCAAAAGCAAAGCAAAGGAAACCAGGTGATGACGGAAAGGCGGCCGTGGTGTAAAAGTCAACAAAGCTAATGAATGGCGTGAGATACAAACACAGATGATCTTAGCTGCCGCTCTGTCAAACAGAGGGTCAATGCTATGATTTGACTAGGGTTTCTGTGACTGCTACACTGAGCAGACGAGACGCGGAGACGGTTGTTTGCAATCTGTGGACATGCCAGGTCTGTCTCCGCTTTCCCTTAGATGGTATCGAAGATAAACCCAACCATCATATGTGGACTGGAGAATGCAGTGGAAAGTTCGTGACCATAGACTTTTCTTGTCTCTGGAAATCCAGAGCATCCTGAGCTCATTTGGCATCAACCCCCCCCCCCAAAAAAAACATCTAGATTTAACATTAGAATTTTGAATTAAACATGGACTGTAGCCAGTTTTATTTTAAAAAGCCATTCAAAAGTTGGTATAAGGGGTAACCAGTGAATGATACATGTTTCTTCAAAGACTGCAGCTCCATTAGCAGTAAATCAATGGTTTTAGACGGGCATGTCTTTTCCAACAATTTTCCATCATGTATTTTGGGGCTCTGCGTTGTTTGTCTTTCTATTGTAATTTTGCCTTGTTGGTAACTAACCCTTAACTGTATCTATTTTCGCTGGGTCAATAAAAAATGTTTCGGCTCATTTGAGCTCTTCTTGGCCTCAAAAATTTCCCCCCGAACTCCCCCCCCCCCACGTTCCTAAGTCAGAGAAAGTTCAGATACACCGGCCTTTAGTACAGACTGTAGGATGACAGTACAAATGTTTGGGTGATTTTTTTTTTTTTTTTTCTTCGAGAAACGCTTTGGAAAACGAATTGAGAGCGAATACAACGGAAAAGAAGTTATTCTTAGTTTGCCACTTGGTGCAGCAGCAGGTATTTCACAGAGTAAACCTTGTTCTCCACCCATGGCCTTGGACCTTGCCAAGCTGAGTCTCCACAACTAACACTGTCTGTTTACTTCCTTAAAAGGAGTCCGACTACGACGTCTCAGCTTGATGGGATGCAAACCTAGGAGAGCACATAGCTGCATCCACTTCCAGGGATTCTCCTGCCATGGAGAATCATGCGATATTTATGGCTTTTCTTATGGTCAAGACAGTAAATATTGCACATATTCCTTATAAATACATCTATTTTAAGACTTACCTAAAGCAAATCTAATTGGTAGGGTCTCCCTATTGGAGGGAAGAAACCCCGATGTGCAGTCGTTAATGTGACACGACCAGCTCCTTAACTTAATTCAAAAAAAAAAAGCCGACCTTCAGAGTGGCTGAGTTTCCTACAATAGCGCACGGTTCCCAGATGAACTGACTTTCAACCAGACAAACATTTTAATGAGCAGCAGGAAAGGTCACAACTGCAGTTTGATGCAGATGACAGCCATTTTTTTTTTTTTTTTTTTTTTGGGGGGGGACCATGTTTGGTCTTGAAGAATAAGCAGCCGTGGCTTCTTGATTGATTGCTAACGCCTCTCTGTCCTCTGTTTATGTCTCGGCGTGTTTTTTTTGCGGCACTTTCTTTAACTTACATTAAGAACCTAATTCTGAGAAACAGAAACATCTTTACTTTAACCCAACCATGACAATCATCTCCACTTCAGCTAACACTGAAGATTTCTGCCCGACAGCCAACACCAGAATGTGTCCCAATTACACAGTGAGCCCAACACTGTCAGTGGGCGTTGACTGCGGTGGTCGGCCATTATGGGGAACAAATTAAGCACCACAATATGATTGTCATTGCATATTGGAAAAATATGTGACACCATGATCATTTTGTTTGAATATTGAAGTAGCCAATAGGATTGTCAAAAGTTAAAGTCAGTTTTTCAGGGCAGGGACTGCACGTCTTTTCTGTGTTGGCTGAGGAATAAAATGAATTCATTATTAATAGCTTCACCACAGAGGCGGCCATATTGACTTTGTTGACGTTGTTTTTTTTCCCGAATGATAGTCATAATTAGTCCAACCTAATGGCTTTATATGGATATTAAGGTAAAACAATTCAACATTGTAAATTATATTCATGCAAAGCTTCAGTGAAAATCTCCTGCCAGGCTTCCATGGCACAATTAAATAACCTTAACAAAAAATTAAATAAAAGTTAAAAATATATACTTATCAAATAAACGGCTAAAATGTACCTTGAGATCAGTAAAGTGTTGTCAAAAATGATAAAATTTTTTGACAAAACTAACATTGAAACGAAAGGTTGAAATTCGTTAAAATAGTAGCAAAAGCTAAAATATTTTTTTTTTCCACAGAATGTTTTTATGACCTATATCATAGTTTGTATGGAGTTAGCGCAGCGTCAGATTTGTGACAAAAAAAAAAAAAAAAACTTTTCGAACAGCCCGCAGTGAACATATAAATAATGGCATTTAAATCTCCTCCAATCACCACCCTGTCAGTGTATAACAGTCATCGCTTAGTCACAAACTGCATTGCTTCATATGTGGGGAGGTAAATCCTGCAGAGCCTTCAGGGTGGTGATTTGTGAATGTAACAAGGCTGATCTTTGCCAGCCCTGCTGGACCTGATCCAACCTAAACACAACTCTCTGGAGGACGACGCGGTCGTACAGTATCAGTGAGTTGTGAGACTGCAGGTCAGAGAGCCTTCGCCTGCCGCTCCACCGAGTCTCTAATGTTCCTGAATAATTTTTATAAAAACAAATCAATGCCACAAAAGTCTTAAGGGATCATAATCCTGAACCTGAAGTGTAATTTTTTCTAAAATTTTTTTTAAAATGAACATGTATAGCTACAGATTAGATCTCATAAATCCTGGCAGCACGATGCCGTAAATAACCCTTTCATGCATGACGGTCACTACGGTGGACAGCTATTAAAATGTAATTTTCTATGATAAGAATAGGTTTTGATGGCAGTGTTGCATATGAGCCTCTACAGTGGATTCTCAGGCGACATTTTAATAGCTGTCCACTGTAGTGACCGTCATGCATGAAAGGGATAAACCCACGACTATACACTCCTAGTGCTCAACCTCTCTGACCTTTGGGGTCCACTGGTCCACTGTATATAATTTGGAGCGCTTTAAAACACGTGGACAAATATCAGGCCGACTGTGCTCGACTTTATGAAGCGCACGATATAAAAGTATGACATATGACATATGCAGATCATATATCATAACCATCACTGAAATCAATTCTAGAGTTCAACCAATTTATTTCCAAAGTATTTTATGAGCGTCCAAAATCACCAAGAAGAACAAACAGGCAGGCTTTGCCTTTTCTGGTATAGTTAAAAGCCAGTGAACCAACAAGGAGGGATTTTCTGAGCTGCAGACAGGCTGAGATATAAACCAGACCGTTTGTAAGTTGAACTATGAACGGGGGAGAAGGGGGGGGGGGGGCCGGGGGTTTTTACCTCAACTTTTGCTAAGTTTCCCGCTTTTGAAACTGCAGCCCTGGTGTAGGTCGGATTTAAACTCTGGAATCTGAAGGGTTTGATGGGTAAAAACGATAACTGGTCCTTTTTCGGTTCACACTTGTGTCATTTCAGTGACACAGTGACAATCTCCGGGGCATCATGGACGATGACTTTGACCGCCGCATGGAGCTGAGGAGGCAGAGGAGGGAGCAGATGCGTCTGGAAGCTGAGAAGTAAGTCAACGCTTTAGCAGTGCCTTCAAATTTTGAATGTAAACAGACAAATCTAGTATTGAATTTTATCGTAAGAAGGGAAGTTCAGTCTAAAACAAGTTAATAAGAAGTGGTTTTCTTATTTAACACATTTTTAAAATATTTGTCTTTAGATGTTCCAGGGAATATTTTAGTCATCTTTTCAAGATTCTCTTTAATTATTGGTTCTTTTTTGACCTTATAGCCGCTATCTTTTGCTAACTCTCTTGACATTTTAATTTATCTTTTAATTTACTATTATTATTATTATTATTGCTGTATTTTTGCTAACTGGCTAACGTCTGAGGTAAGTCTTCATCTTTTGTTCTTTGTATCCTTTGTATCAATTGTTTAAGCTTCTTATTTTTTGGAAGTAACCTTACAGGAGGCCTTCAGCTTTGGCTGGAGAACGGGCTAATTGAATTACAGTCTATTTAGTGGAACGTTTGCCCTGGGATCTGTTGGAATACCGTCCTCCTTTTGGTCTTTGTTTCTGTTTTGGGAGAAAGAGAAGGATTTGTGTGGTTCAAATCCACCTCGAACTCCCACATCTGTGAATCATTGTGCAACAGATTTTAGATGAGCAGGAGAAAATAGTACCCAGTGACTGTCAATGGGCCGTTTCCATCCCTCTCCCTGCCTCATAAAGACAGCTAGTACAGCTTCACCAGGGTGAAGCCTGGAAAAGGCTGAGAGCTTCACTGACTCTCTTTTGCTAATCTCCAATAGTTTTTGGATACAATTCTGAAAATGTTGGATCTTGGACACATTTGGAGTAAATATTCCCTAAAATTTTAGGGAGATCTATTTGAAACACTTCAGCTTCTACCGGTGCTTTGAAACCTAAGGGGTTAAGAAGCTCAAAAAAAAAACATTTGTGAGGTTACGGTATCTCAGTTAGTCACGGTTGCCTCTGTTGTTTCGCTCCGAATTCTCGGAATCACTCACAGCGAAACAGTTGCTAAATAAAAACATGAGGAATCCTGACAGTTCAGTTCAAATAAATGTCCAACAGAGAGCTCCCTATTCTCTTTTATTTGTGCTCTTCGGGTGCCACAGGGCAACGCTGTACTTTCCAACATGTGCTTTGTTTCCTGTGTTGCCTTTCAGTTTACGACAAATCGAATTAAAGGTGATGAAGCTGAGGTGATGTCATTAATGCCAGCACAGAAAGAGGCTGGAGTTAGTCTCGTGTTGCAAAGTTGATAAGAAAAAAAAGGTCAAGGAAATAAAACCAACATGTGTAGCTACCATTCGTCATCAGCTCAAAGCAGTTTATTTTATATATATATGTATATAAAATCAATAGTTTGTGTAATGGAGTCCAAGTGGAAATGGTTAAACGTCGAGGAGCAGATTGCTGTTTTCTTTTTTGAAGCTTCAACTACATTTTATTTAAACTTGCTCAGGTCGGGTTTCGCCAACGAAGACGACGAAGAGGAAGCGCGGGAGAGGAGGCGCCAGGCGAGGGAGGAGAGGAAGAAGATGAGAGAGCAGGAGGAGGAGGCCGGGACCGAGGGAAGCACAGAAGTACTCGACACAAGGTGGAGTGCGGACGTAGGAACGATGCCGACGTGGTTAGACTTACAGAAAATCACTGGCGTTATGACGCGAATCTAACAAGGTTCTTGTCAAAAGTGACACCGCCAAAAGATGATTCTTTAAGAAATTAACCATCTTGACGGGGGGAGAGAGAGGGGGAGGGGTTATAAAAACGGATCATTTACCATTAAAGATCACATGCTGTTACAGTGCCACAGAGGAAGACTCCTCCACCCTCACACCCAGCGCTGGAGGAGTAGATGACGACCAGGCTTTGTTGGAGCGTCTCGCCAAGAGAGAGGAGCGGAGGCAGCAGAGAATGAAGGAGGCCATGGAGAGACAAAAGTCATTTGAGTCCACCGCCAACAGCACAGAGGAGGAGCAAACAGGGGGACAGGAGGAGGACAGGGGGGAGGAGACACCTGTCCAAGAGGAGGTGTCGGAACCTGTCGTCAACTCCAGTGAGAAAGAGGAAGAAGTGAAGCAGGAAGAAGCCAAGGTGAGGAGAAGTTTTCATCTCTGTCCCGAGAACAACAATGAAAAAGGTATTTATGTATGATTTTTTTTTTTATACTCCAGGAAATTATCGAGGAGTCGGCGCCGTCATTAACGACCACTGAGGTAGGATCCACTCTGACTGTTTTCTTCTAACTTTTCTTTAAGTCTCTACTCTAAAAAAATACAATTAATGCCACAGGAGGCGGAGGCTCCAGCTGCAGAAGAAGAGGTCGATCAGGGAGAAAAAGAAGCTCTTGAGGA